GCATTTCATAGTGAGATTCATTCTTTAACAAATATACGACATCGCAACATTGTCAAGTTGTATGGTTTTTGCTCGAGTGCAGAACATTCTTTTCTAGTTTGCGAGTTTATAGAAAGGGGAAGTTTGAGGAAGATTCTTACCAATGAAGAAGAAGCAATGGATCTAAACTGGATCAAGAGGCTAAACGTGATTAAAGGGCTATCCAATGCATTGTGTTACATGCACCATGAATGCTCAACCCCTATAATTCACCGGGATATTAGTAGCAACAATGTTTTATTGGATTTAGAGTATGAGGCTCATGTCTCTGACTTTGGCACCGCTCGGATTTTGAAGCCTGACTCCTCCGTCCGGTCCTTAGTTGCTGGTACCCTTGGCTACATTGCTCCAGGTAATAAACTTTGTTGCTTAACATCATCTAGGGAAATTTGATTAGTGTTGTTCTTATGACTTTGCTTCTTACTACAGAGCTGGCTTACACAATGGAAGTGAATGAAAAATGTGATGTTTATAGCTTTGGTGTTGTCACAATGGAAGTACTCATGGGAAGACATCCAAGTGATTTGATATCTGCTTTATTATCGCAATTGGCACCATTACCGTCTTCAACACCACCAAACTGGCGGCAAATGTTGATCAAAGATTTAATAGACCAAAGACTATTAGTTCCAACAGGTGAGGCAACTGTGCATGTGGCCTCCACTGTGAGGCTAGCACTTGTATGCTTGCAAGCCAATCCTCAATATCGACCAACCATGCGACAAGTTTCTCAGGCCCTTACTAGTGAGTGGCCTCCATTGCCAAAGCCCTTCTCCATGGTAACATTGGAAGACTTGGTGGGGCAAGATTTGTGGGGCTGAGGTGTTTTGTGTGAAAAAGCTAGGTTTTTCCATTTGCGTTTCTAGTTCGATGAACTATGTCTCTTGCTTGTGATTATTTTCTTAATCGTTTGTACTTTTTCTTTTTCCGTTTTTTTCTTTGGCTGAAACTTAATCCCTTGTACTTGTTCTTCTTCATCCCTGGGGAGCGCATTCTATATGATGTTACCAATATTTGTCCAATCTTAACACAAGCTATCGATTCACATTAAAAAATAATTAGGGCAATAAGCCCCCCAATTATCTACAGCTCAAGCTACCCATAATTGGTAGTCAACTTGGCTTTCTTAAGCCCAACAAATTCGAATGTTAGAAGTTTCAATGATGTTACTAACTAAAAAAGAGCATAAAAATACCAAAATTTTCCAAGATAGCCAATCAAATGGCTGTCTTGGAACTGTGATTGTAATGCAGGTTGTCATCCAACCCCAGAAATAATATGATGCTTCTAATTCTGAACTAGAGCAGGAAAATACAATATTTAATCCATTCCATTTCTTGAGGGAGAAGCAAAAAGCAAGGATGTGTTGGTTCCTCCAAAACCAAATGAGATGGACAAGGCCACTCTTACCGGCATCTTTTTGAAGCAGTCAAAGGCAAGAAAGCGTCATCAAAAGTGGGATCTGGTTCATTGACATTAAGCGTCAAAGGTGCAACTCCCTACAATAATACACCGGGGAAAAAAAAAGAGGAAAAAATGAAAACAAAAACTATTAACTTCGTTAGAAGCAAAATTCAGGAAGTCAGGCGCCAAGACTTCTAAGAGATAAGTTCTCTTTTTCCTTTTACCTTTAGAAGCAGGCACATTAGCCACTCAACAGAAAGCAGGGCGCAGACCACACTAAAGTCATGTTTAGTTTAATGGAATGGTTATTTTTATCCCAAAAAATCTTCTTT